GAAGATGGATAGGCTGCATTGGGATCTAAACACTGTAATGGACGCTTGGGATGAACCATATGATGTTTCAGACATAGGAAATACCTCGAAAGATATCAATGATGTTGGTATTCTCAGGGGGAAGCTTGATCGAGAATGTTGCGGGGATCATAAAGATTGTGATGTAAAGGACCCAAGCGTTGAGTTTTCCAATTTGAAAAAAGAAGTATATAAATTAGAAGAACTTTCAGATTCTGATAAAACTTGCTTTGAGAAAAAATGTTTTCCAAAACCCGAGAGATGCTTGCTGGAACCAGTAAATTCTTATGCTGATACGGGAACTTCTTGTGAATCTACGCGGATAGATTCTGATAAGAGCAACTTTGCTCAAGTTAACAACCGAAATTCTGATGTAAATACATCTATTAAAATTGTTGACAAAGATGCAGTTCCCAATAATTCTGCTCGCACCGAGTTACCTTGCTACTCAAGCTTTTCTGAACCAAAGGAAAAAATGAACGGAAATTCTGGCCGTGTCGCTATCTTGCAGGGTGAATATTGTTTCGGCACTATGATAGAATTTGACAAAACTATATCCTCCGAAACAATTCAGGCTGGGATTCAAAACTTGACTTCAAATGAGGTACCAGTCTTAGAATTATCTACATCTGTTGACACTGAAGATTATCGGAAGACATCTGAACTGCCTGATATAAGGATTTCTTTAAAGGAGACAATGAGCTCCATTACATGCAAAAGACCAGATATTGACAATTCTGGTAGTAATTCGATGGATGTGGATTTTTCTCGTCCGTCATATAACTCCAGAAACTTCCATGCCTCGAGGACCTTTATTCCTGATGGTCAGTCTGTTGCAATTGCTGAAGGGAAGGGTCGAGATGATAGAATTTCTGTTGCAGGTTCCATAATATCTGATTCTCAGGAGCACTTCAAACCCGAGGAAATTGTTGCCAAGCAAGAAGACGATAATGTTTCTATTGAAGGAAAAAGGAGACCTATTTTGCAAGACTTGTGTAACAGTGATGGTGGTGGAGAAAATTTTGACCCCATTGCTCTTGATGCGAAGGTTGGCATTCTCGATGACTGTCATGATTCTGATGTTTCTCAGGATAATCATGGGCAAATGGCTGATGGGGATGAGGTTACTAAATTTCAGGCAGGCTATGATTCTCCATATGAGGATGGAGAATTGAGGGGGTCAGTTTTGTATTCATGTGAAGACAATGAAGTTGAATATGGTGAGAATGAGTGTGTTGACTATGACTCAGATGGTAGAAATGGCAATGGTTCTGATGCTGCAGATTACCCGGGGTCAGATATAGTTGATGGTGGATCTGAGGGTTCCCAAGGGCCAAAAAAGAAATTTCTATCGATGAAGGGATATTCAGAAACTGATTTGAACAAGGGTGGGTCGGTGAAACATTACTTGAGACATTTCACCAATAACGACACTGAGAAGGTGATGGGTGGAAAGATAGAATCGAATGCGGGATCTGGTACCACCGTTGATCAGTCCATAGATATGGTTGCCGAGGAATATAATGATAGTGAGAGAAGATGCGCCGTAGATCGAACAGATGCAGTTGATGGTAAAGGGTTGTGCATGGACGAATTTGGGTCAAAGACCTCTCGGGGGAAGCTGCAGTCTCGTATTGAAGGACCTTCATCTTTGGTTACAACTGATGGAAAGGATATTTTTATGCAGCAATGCAGGTGACATTCGAAGACATTTTCTTGATTGGTTATCTTGTTTTGTTTCCCCAGCAGGATTATTTCCCCCAGCACCCTTTTGGGATCTTTTCTCCATTCTCACCGGGTTGGGGGGGGGGGGGGGGGGGNTAGATTTCCTTGTCTTTTTTCTTTCTGGTTTTTGTTTCAATATTGATCTAACTGACAAATGTTTATCTTCTCCTATATTGTAGATCGCGTCGTCTTGGGAGTCCATATTCTCGGTCTGAAAGAAACATCAGTCCTGAAAAATATCCCGTTAGGTATAGGCCAGCTAGTCATGTACGCGAAAGAGATGGATGCGATAGTCTGTGGACATACTGGGGATCGAGAAACCATTATACTTCTAGATATCATGGGCTGGAGGGCCACGGTCAGACAAGGCCAAGAACTGCAATTAATGACTCAACAAACAAGTTTGGTGGATTTCACTCCCATGAACTGAGGCAATCTGGAAATTATTCTTCGAGAGGTTCGTATAGGCCCTCCTTTCGGAGGAGATCACCAGTTGACAGGGATGATTGTTTTGGCATTCATAGGAGAGTACCTCTAGCCCGAGGCACTGGCAATAATAGAAGCGGGGTCAATTCTGGAAATTATTCAAGACGCGTTGGTAGAGAGATTAGGGAGGATTTCCATGAGCCTGTTCCTGATGATGCTCCTCGATTGCCTCATTATTTATCAAGGAGGGACAATAACTTTTCGCAAAATCCCGGTAGAGGTTCTCATATACCCTTGACCCGTAGGAAATCTTGTTCCAGATCTAGATCACGATCTCCCCGTCCATGGAACTTGCACAAGGAAAGAAACATGGGTACAAGATACCACAGCAGATCTCCAGATTTCAGGTCCAACGCTAGAACGGAAAGAATGAGGCTGCCCTATTCAAAACCCAGTTTTGCCTCTGATAATGGAGAAGGCTACATGTCCCCACCAAGAAGCTACTTCTCACCACAGCGCAATTGCCGATGGGTTGGTGAGCGAAATTTTATGGACAACTGTCTAAGGCACAGGCGATCCCCAGTCAGAATGTTCAGGAGGAATGAAAGGTTTGATACTGTTGGTTCTTCTGGACGAATGAAGTCGGACGATTCTTGTAGACCCACAACACGTCCTGGAAGATTTTCTTTCATGGCCAATGGTGGTAGGGGATGCAAGTTTGAGGCTGGTTATGAAGATAGGATACATCGAGTGAGGCTATCCGATGATGATGGTTCAGTTAGGCGGTTTCAGCATGATGTGTCCAATAATTTTGATGCAAGCAACAACTCCAACAAGGAAAATGATGTTCAACGTACTGATCAAAGGGATGTACCCCGGAGTGCTAGGGACGGTAAGAGAACCTTTAATATATGACTGATATGATAGGATAAGTTGCTTCCCTTCCCTTGGTAGATAGATTATGTCGAGCATTGCTCGAGAGAAGAATGACCATGCTTGGCTTGCCTTCATGTCTTGTGCCTGGTGGTTGATAGATAGAAATTCTATACCAGTTGAAGTTTTTTCTTTCGTCTTTTCTAGCAAATTAGTTTTTAAAATTTAAATTTTCCTATTGTTGCATTGCTCTGTTTTCTTTTTGAGGAGGCTCCTTTAAATGTTATGCTCGGGCAATGTTGTTTTTGTTTGCCTCAGTCGGATGCTATCTTTGGCATCTGTGTTTCCGTTACGGCATGTAAGATGGAAGAAATATGTTTGCTAACATGTTAAATCTCGAAATAGATTTGTGACGAAGTGACAAAATAATTTATATTGTTGACCTTGAAGTCGGTGGAAATTAGATTTATTTTGCAGTTAAAGCTGGGGTAAAAAATAATGCTTCTCTCCTGAGAAGTTCCTACCAAGGTGGAAATGCTATATTTATATTTTCTACAATTGTACGAACATTTAAATTTACACATTTTTGTAACTTCATGGAGCGTCGTAAACTAGAATTTCGAAGTCAAAAGTATTACTTTGATTTTCACACCGTCACCTTTGTAAATATCCGTTTTAACCACTTTTTAATTGCACTATAAATCTCCGATCTTTTCTTATTATATATATATTACACTTGTGTGCCTGGGCAATTTACTGGGTTCTTGAGAATCTATGTGAAAATTTTGAAAATACAATTCTTGTAAGGAAGCTCCTGATGTTTACATACCGGTTACAATCTTCATCTTGCTTTTGAAGGATAGGATTAGAGAAATCACTAAAATTCTTTGTCGAGCCCTTTTAACATAAATCTCAAGACATCTATTAGTTAGCCTCTTCTAAGGTAAAGGCCCTTCAAAAATTTACGAGAATGGTCATTCTTGTCGACAACGTGAGCAAGTCGCAATTGAGCATCATTACCACTTTGATTTATCAATTTCACAATAATATATCAGCCCATGGAGTCAAGTATCGTATTTAAAAAGATTAGAACCGGCCTGTTCGCTGTGACATAGTCCAATGTGGGATTAGGTCGGTATCGTTAATATACGTATTGTTGGGCAAACATAGATTTTTTCACATTTCTCAACAATTCGAATTCAAGACCTCTCACACGAGAGAGACCTGTGTAAATTTAGATTCTAGAAATTCTTTTTAATCATTATATTTGCAATTATGCAATGAAGTTCGGTTCTCACAATTTCACTGGTATTCATAATTTTAGATGTGAATTACAACAAAATATGTTTGATGCAATTTGGGATATCCTCAGTTTTAGTAAAGATGTACACTTTCTGAATTACATTTAGGCTGATTGCAAGGAAAAGGTAAGAAAAATTACATTATAATGACTTGACCGATTCATCTTGTGTTAATATTGCTTGATTCTATAGCAACTATTGAGCTAGCATTTTTGACAACAAAACTTGTCAAAACGACAATTTGTAACAAAATGGAAGATGAATTTCTTGTTGAGTGATAAAACTCAAAATTGACCAATGTTGCTGAGAAAACATATATATTGACTGACGAATTACTCAGTAACATCTAGTCGAGCACAAGTTTAATAAGCTAATCTTTTATGTTTTTATTAAATCCTTGGTTATGAGGTATTTACTTTTTCTAAATTTCATCCTAGCCTAAAATTCGACTCTAGCTCTGTCCCTTCAACAAATGTACAAGCATTAGAATTTACACTAAATAACAATGTTTTACAGACACAAGCCAGTCTCCACTGATAATCATAGGTGGTAATGATAAATGAAATGTACAGAGCATGTTTCAATATTACAAACATCACAAATTGCAAAATTAAAAAACTGGCATACAGAAAGACAATTGTATAGAATAAAAAAGCATCACCAATTGAAGCTAATGGACTCAAAATGCAGGTTTTCTGCCAATGCAGAAGCACATATTTTTGCAACTTCATGGCGCATGCTCTTTGGCCCGCAAACTAGAACTCCAACGTCTGGTTCTTTGCAGTCGAAAAGTATGCCTTTGATTTTAACGAGAAAGATCAAGTGTGTTAGGCTAGACATACGTCTCTTTCAATAATTTACCAAATTAAACATTATAGACATGTTAAATATGCTCGACTAGATGATACTGAATATGAGTTAAAAGAATTGTTAATCATAGTTCACTAAGGTCAACAAACATTTTTTTTTTTCCCATATTAGTTACAAAACTTCAATTTCTGCCTTGGCTTCGGCACTTTGTCCATCTTTGCTTGCTGAATAACAGCAACATTAACATGACCTTAAAACGTCAGTTTATTTTTTCCTTTTTCTTCAATTTCTTTCAAAAAGTGTGTTTGAAAACACTATTGATTCAACAGAATCATTTTTGTCCAAATGGACGATAAAACCAACTTACCGATAGATTTTAGTCCTCTTTTTTTTTTTTCAAATTCATTTTTAACCACTTGAATCATTTTTGTCCAAATGGACAATAAAACCAACTTCCCGATAGATTTTAGTCCTCTTTTTTTTTTTTTCAAATTCACTTTTAACCACATATTTCCACAACTTGTATCAACTTTTTTAACCATACATTTTATTAACTATTATCAATCTACTAAAAATCTAATTTTTATCCATACCAAACAGTGGCTTAGTGTCACGTTAGGATTTCTTTTGATTCGGCAAATAGGATGCTTATATTGAAATAAAAATGAAAGTTTGGTGACTAATTTAGAATGAAAAGAAGTTCGGCGACTAAATTTAAAACGCTGTAAGTTTTTTCTAATAATGCATAAAACGCTACCTATTTTTTCCCAAAACACAAAAAAGGCACTTACTCTTTAGATCAGGTCTAGCACCATAGTGCACCTTTGTACATTGCACTAGGGACTGCTGAGGCAAGCTTTCAAGTTCTCTCTCAGTAGCACATAACCATGAAGCTGGTGATGAGGTTGGTGTTGTCATTTCCGCGTTCTGAATCTGCCTTTCTTCCACAGAATTTTCTCTCTTTTGCAAGAGGAAAACGACACTAGTTCCTATAAATACACAAGCCATTACAAGAAACATATCCCATAAAATCTTAAAACTGTAATGGTAATTCTGTCCCCTCCTCTCGACAGGATATATATGGTAACGAGTGATGATTCCCAGAAAGAGTAAAAACATGATGAAGGAGGACGAGATTACAGCCCCGAGCAATAGCCAACTGTTTTTCCCAAGGGCTGAAGAAATCGGCGAATCTGATGGATTTGGCTGGAAAAATTTAGCCTGGATGAGTTCATGGGCATTTTCAAAGGATTTTTGATCGTTTTCTCTTGTGATGTAGGCTTCTATTTGTAATTGTACTTTGGAAATATCTATAGAATCTCCATATATGGGGAGCAAGAGGTCTAGCATTGAGAGATCAGCTGTGTTCTTGAAGGCAGTTACTAGAAGAATTTTTGGTGCTTTAAAGTTTGGTTGTGTACTTCTGAAGATGATCTCTCGGATTATGGAAATGAAAGGAGTAATGCCACTTCCTCCGCAAATCATCACCAAAGAATCCGACTGCAACAAGATTAAACTTAGTCAGCATGATCTTAACTCGTTTAAAAGCGTCAATTATTAGAGACGAGAAGAATGGTTAAGCATGCCTGACTTCTCTTTAGTACTTCCAATCGTTCAACTATTAGTTGTCAGAATATTTTTAATAATTCCTTGTCCCTATAAAATTTTGTCCACAATTCTATTCGTTTTAACTTTAGAAAACATATCCAATGACCAAATTATTTTAGTATAATTTCATGAAGCTGTAAACAAATTATGTATACATACCTTAGAAAATGAGATGAAGAAGGTTCATAAGGTCCTTCAGTTGAGAATTGAAGATGATCCAAAGAAGAAGAAAGTTGTTTATAAAGCTTTTGAGTCCAACTTCCCTCAGTTTTTATTGCAATACTGATCTTATCTGCCTCCAAGTTACTGTTGGAAATTACTGTAAATGGGTGCCACTGCAGCTTGCATATGCTTGGTACATGAATAAACAATACACTTGTTGGGTTGTAACTCAATCCTATAGAGGAAAACAACTACTTATTAGAAAAGATTTAAAGGTATTGTTGATACATCTCGTCTAAAAGTTTAAACCGCTAAATAAAAAACAAACACTTATTTATTTGTATTTCTATATATCTTGAATATATACCTCGTCAAAGACCTAACATGAAAAGATTTAAAGGTGTTGTCGATGCATCTCGTCTAAAAGTTTAAACCGCTAAATAAAAGAAAACACTTATTTATTAGTATTTCTATATATCTTGAACATATACCTCGTCAAAGACCTAACATTTGGAATTATAAGTTGCGTTGACCTTAGAGCCTTTGTCTACTCTTAGATCTACCTCGTGTAAAGGTTATTAGTTTAAAAACAATGGATGAATATAACTCATTATTCATATATTTACATTGCAACCACGTACCTTATGTTCAAACACATTTAACCTCCGTTTGGCAGAATTTATAAATCATTTACAAGTGATCAAACTTCATTTTCAACCACACATTCCATTGGGTCCACAAATAATATCAACTTATCCATCACTCATTTTCATCTTTTACAAATTAAACAGCTTGTAAATTCTTCCCAATTAATGGAGATTTTTATTCCATTTGGTAAAATTTAGAAATTATTTCCAAATTATTGATTTTCATTTTCAACCACACATTTTAATGGATTCACAAGTATTATCTATTTATTTATCACTCATTTGTATCCATTTATAAATTCTTCCCAGACAAGATTAACACACATTTGACACTTCGAGGTATAAATGACAATGAGAGTTGAAAGGATTTTATGTTCTTTAGTGTCTGTCATGTTGATCCATCTTATTTAGAGCTTGACAAATTTGTTATATTTGTCTTTAACGTGCCAACTCGTGCATGTTGAATTTAACTACACACTAAAAAAGCCTTACATGAGTAAAATTTCATCATCGAGACTGCTTGAATTCTTGATCTTTTGTCAAAGCTTTAAACTTTCGAAAGAAATTTGGAACGTCAGACTAATTTTATTCACCTGGATTCTTGGAGAAAGTGAGTTCCATGGAGCCATTAGGCAGCAGGCGTGCTGAGAATAATCTGGCCCTCCTTCTTGACTGTAAGAATCTCAAGTATCTATCAATAAGGAAGAGAAAAATCCCAGGGAGAATCATGCAGAAATAGGCAACTCCCACATGCAATATGTAGAAGAATACATAGAGAATGTAGAGATGGTGAGCATAGAAGAAAACTTCAAAAAACTTTCTCCTGATTCGATCGAAACTTGTTGCCCACATCCCCAATGAAACCACAAAAGCTATTACTCCAGCTATGTTGGATAAATAGGTACTGCTCCATTGAAGCATCTGCATCACCAATTACCAGTTATTAAGTACTTCTAATATTAGTAGGGGGACTGTGAGTTTGTGTGTGAGAGAGATTGATGCAATGGAAGTGTGAAGAAATATGAATACACAAATCAAAGCCTGTTTGTTCAAAAAGACAGCCTAGAATTTGACAAAATCTAGAGTCTATCGTATTACTAACTAACAACGAACTGATAGACTAAAACTGTAGTTTAACATATCTCAAACATTAGACAAATTTGAGGATCTCGCATATAAAGCTACAGTTAAAGTAAAACAACAAGATGAAGCACAATTTTCCGAGAAAGTGAAGAAAGTTCCCGTTTGAGTCTGATCCTTTAAACGAAGGATTTCGGCCAAACTCCCATGGCCTAGAAAGCTTTCCAGTTTTGATCAAAAGTCCATTTATACTTGAAAATCAGTATTATTTTTCCAAATTCCAGGTGATCAAAACTTGACCCAAGTCAACTTTGAGCCTTCTGGATTCAATCCTGAAGAGAGAGAGAGAGAGAGAGAGAGAGAGAGGCGTTTGTGCATGTACCAGGTACATTTGATTAGTCATTGCCCACCAGTAGATGATGAATCCTATGCTATGTGCAGCAAAAAGAACATTTGAAAGATGCCCAAGCCAGATATGATATTTCATGCTAGATTCTGATGTGAGCCCAACAAGAGGCAATATTGAGGATGCACGTGTCACTGGGAAAAATAGAAATGCCCAGCATGTGTTTCCAATGTACCCAAGCCTCAGGGATACACTGCGAAATTTTGCTTGCCACCTGCAAAACCCATTGGCAGAAAAATTTTTATCAGAAAGATCAAGAATATTTACTGCTCAAAGGGATAACTCATATTAGCAAGTATTTAAGAAGAAAACACACTTGGTACGAAACTGTTTTTAGGATAAATACTCCAGTGTGTAGCATGATCAGTACGCAAAAATCGAGTAGGAGACTAAACATGATCAGGTGTCCAATCTAATGTCTGGATATTTGAGAGTTTTTATCTTTTTTTTTTTTCCTTTAATTCTTTCCTGTACTGTCCATTTCAATTTACTAAACACGCAATAAAGGATTAAATATTTACAACACCACTAGTTTAACAAGAATATATAAATTAAACAGTTAAGTTGTTGGTTCTTACACTTTCTCTCCTGGTGTATGCATATGGAGGGCGCCAAAACTGACATATAAATAATTTGCAAGAGACCATATCATAAGTGCTATGAACATGACAGCAAATGCCAGCTCAACTCCATTCACAATTCCCAGAGGAGCCCTCACCATTGCCGGACGTTTCATTGAAACACAACGGCTCTTTCCCTTCGAACTGCAAAAGAACTCAACACACTTACGATAACTGTGCACTTGATGGATTTTTAATTAGAAAATGAATTCCGTCTGCATGTTGGCGTGTGTTGGACGAATAGTGTAAGCTTTTAGATTAAATGATTAACAGAAATTCCTAACTTAAAGAATTACCTAGAAATTAAGAACATACCTTCCGGAGTTTGATGATTTCTTCTGAAAATGAAGATAAACACTGCCCAGTGCTGCAATGAACATAATTGGAAAACTAAACAAAAGAAGATTTGTCCCTGTAAAAGAGTGCAGATTACATGAGAAAATTTTCGATAAAAAATCAACAATGTCATAGCAAGTACGCACGCACAAAAAAAATGAAGAAATTAACAAGCTATACCTTGCTCTCGAAAATAAGTGGAATTGAGTTTTTCATTCAACTTTGGGGTCCATGAAGTTTTGTAAGTTTTTGTGGCCAACATAACCCAAATAAACATATATCCAACAAAAACCAAGAAAAACATAATCTGCCACAAAACCCTGAATTTCATGTTCTCAGCAGTGGATTTGCTTGTAGGGACTCCTCGTCCTCAAATCTGGATACCAATAAGATTTATCAAAGAAAACAATGAGTGGCTATACTTTTATTCCAGAAAGTCTTGTTCCACCTAATTATATACATGTATGTATACTCGATTTCTTTGCTATCAAATGCTTGGTATTATTCTATGATGTTTTTATATACGAATAAAATAATTTTGATGCGTCACCATATGTGAAGGAGAAAAACAGCATGATTCATGCACAAGTACAGGGAATTATTGTACTGCAACTCTGCAAGTTCATTTTTCAGGTGGCTAAATTTCTAAGCAAGTGGGTGTAATTTAGTTAGAAAGATGCAACATGTACCGGGGGAAATGTCCTAGAAATTGTGAGAAAGTCGAGTGGCAAATTTTCATTGAACTTTGCACAAAAAACAAGATTTAAGATAGTCAATCAAAATCTATCACATCAGCACCCGCATTTTCCTATGTACAAACAAATTTATTCATTTAGCCCATATTTGGTAAAAATTAAAATTTAGATTTTAATTTAAATTAAAGTCAACAATTAATTTTAATCACACATTATATATCCCAAATGAGGGCTTAGTTATTCTTCACATAGTCAAAAGCTCACAAGTTGTTGTTTATGTGACCTTTCACACTCAGGAAGGGCTGATATATATGAGTGATGCTATTTGTCATCAAGATGTATATAGGGGTTACACCCTCCTCACATGGGGGTGGGACCCACTCAAATAAAAAAATATTATTCAAGTGAGTCAATATATATATACTAATTAAAACAGCCAAATTTTGATGCTTTTTTTCTCATTAAAACAAACATATCTTTTAAGTTTCAACATCTAGCGAATCCAAATTTTTACCTTGCCAAAAGGAAATAGCATTTCAGATGGTACTACTCCTGCTACAGAACTGTGTAAGTACAGTTGACTTTAGGGTTTTGCAGTACAATCTAAGAGACTAATACAGTTCAAATCTAGTTTGACCTATTGCTCTTCATGTCGAGAGGGGGAAAAATAACAAACTAATAAATAAAAAAAAAACAACAGAAAATAATGTAAATGAAAAATCTAACTAGAAATTGACATCTTGGTAGGGCGCACGAAAGCAAATTGGAAAACCTTACTATTTTTATATACCAACAGAATATAGACATAATCTAAAAGATTAATCTTTTTGTTAAGAATTGGGTTCCATTTTAAAATATCAACTTTATTAAGAGGAATAGCACAATCATTTATAAGTTGGTTTATGTTTATATCTTTATTCGATGTGAAATGCTATCCCTTAACATGCCTCCGCAAGATAGTGACAAGTTTGAGCAGATTAATCTTGAAATGCGTATGCTCACTTTTGGAGTTTTAATCGGATCGAATTGATCGTTAAAGTTTAATAAGCTTTGATACTATATTAAGAATTGGAGTTCCATCTTAAAATGTCAACATTATTAATAGGAGTAACACAATCCTTTATAAGTTGGTTTATGTTTATATCTTTATTCGACGTGGAATTCTTTTTATCTGAAATAAATCAAAATATTAGTATTTGAATTTAAGGACAATTTGTTAAGAGTTGTCGAAGCTCTTCAAGCATGACACGCTAAATTCAAAATATTCTTTCTTAGAAAATCAATGCTTAAAAACAAGTTTCAAGAAACTTTTAATTTTATAAAATCAATATTTATTTCATGTATCAAAAAAGGAACCATCATTAGAAGGCAAGACGTAACAATCCCTTAACCAAAACTGAGAAAACTATTCATACATGGTAACTACATTCAACTATGTAAAATATTACAACGAGATAAAAGGATCAATTAAAATTTTAAAATTACAAAACTGTGAACATAATTCTAAGGTATATCAACAATAACAGGTTCTAAGATTTAATTTTCTTTTGCTCTTCAAATTATGAACCAACCAGTTTGCGTATATCTTTCCTGGATACACAACAAGTTGCAAGAGTTGCGCAGAAACACAGAATATTTCCAATGGCAGAGCACAGAATCAGAAATTCACACAGTGAGTTGAAAATCTATGCAACGCATATCTATTCACAAGTGTTTGAGAACTAACGTTCCAAAACCAATGCCCAAAAAGGTCGCTATTGATATTCCAAATATCCCTACTAGAATGCCGGGAATGACCAAAGAACCCCATCCTTTTGCTGTAGCCATTCCACCTGCTGTCGTAGGACCTCCAATATTAGCATTCGATGCTAATAGTAACAGTTTTGAGTCCAATCTGAACAATCTTCCCAATGCAAGTATCACAAGGAGATGAACAGTCACTTGAATGAAAGCAAACAAGAAAATACTAGGTGCTGTATGGATTACATTCCATATACTCCCACCGGCACCCACAACAGCAAAAAATACCTGTTCATAGAAGATATGGTAATTTAAAGAAGACAGTCCAATAGAATTATTGGTCAATACATGTAATGATTTAACGTCACAATATTTGGTGTGAGAAAAGAAGAATTTTTTTACTTCACGACTCCACAGACAACTAGATCAACAACTATACCAAAAAATTTGAAGTCGGCTACATGATGGTTTTTTATCAACCTATTAGATTCGTCGCGACATTTACCAAAAGATCCCACAGGAAAAATTCCTCCGCAACTATATCAAGTGGAATTAAATTTGGTCCACATGTCTATCTTCCAATATTTTCTACAAGACACAACATCACCAACAAAAACTTCTTCAAGTCTACCAAAGACATTTTCCAACTGCTTAAGTCACCGAGAACTAGAAAATCCTATTTAGTCAAATCCCTAACTACAAATTTCAATGTTCCCATTGTAACGGTCACCTAATTTATTCTCAATTGGTATCACCTCGATTTCTATTGCAAGAAATTTTCAGTCATTGTCATTTAGGAAGAATATTCATTGCACCAAAATCATTTAAATTCAGAACCGTAGGTATGTGAACAGTGGAACAATGCAGCCTTTACTAAACAAAATTTTCCAATTTGAAGCAGTATTGTACTTGAGCAGTTGGTTGCTGATTCACCAGTTTATGAATCAATTACTGGCACCTTTTCAAAATCCATTAACCATATTTGAGACTAGAAACTCGATGCCAGTCAATTTATGGTACAGCCTTGTCACAGTGCTCATACGGAATTAGCTTTTTCAGCTCGTAAGGGCACGAGACTGAAAGGAATTCAAGATCAAGACACCCAAGACCCGACAAAGAATTATCACTTTACATATGGTGTATATTGCAAAAAGCCCCAAACAGAACTGTACCTGGCCTCTTTGAGTGCACGTTCGGGTCTTAAGGATGGAAATCATAGAACATAGGGGCCAGGGTTAACTATGACAATCAAATACCATGTGTAGTAGGTTTTAAGTTACCTGCATCAATACTACAGCAAATGCTTCACCAGCAGGTGCAAGGTGGCAGAAGTATTTTGGAAGCAAAGTTGCTAAAACCACAACAATTGCTGTAATTGCAGGAAGATCACCTCCTTGAATTCCTAGCAATTTGGTAAGAGAAGTGGCAGCTTTGCATATAGCGAATGAAACAGCAAGTGCAGTAGCCATATGGAGCACAGAAAGTTTGTTTCCCTCGGACTTCATAGCTGTAGAAGCATCTGTAGGAAAAGAAAATTTGAATGTCATTCATTCTCAGGCTATCGTAACACATCATGAGTATGTTCGGTACACTGTATTGAATAGAATTGAACACTACTATAGATAAGATCTTAGCATCTATTTTTTTCCTAATATTGTCCAATACTATACTAAGCAAACGAGCTCTATCTGTTTAGCCTTGACATAATTTTGCAAATGGGGAATGGGAATATTAACATTTGTTACATTTACATAAAATGAAAATATAATTTTCATACTCTAAATAAGAAAATGTCCAATGAACAATGGACCAAATCATGTAACGCATCTTAAGTTTGTGATGTTCTAACTTGAAATCCGTACGTACCATTGGTCGATGTTGAAGCCTCTGAAGGTATTTTTGAGGCCAATCCAAATAATACAACAAAATAAACCGCACAAATGACATTATCTGCAGCTACACCTGCAGCTACAACTGACGGAGAAGTACTAAGTGCCTCTGAGATTGCAACATAATTGATAGCTGCATAAACCATGAACAAGCAACAATCACAATGATGACCATGACAAAAAAATTGGCCATAAACAAATATATGCTTGGTCCTGTCTAGTACTACATGCCAATCATGAACTAATGGAACAGGAGAAAAAAAGCTATTTACGCCAAAATGAGACTTTAAAAAGGCAGCATCCAGCCTACTGATTTCAGAGATTAGGCCGAGACCAGATGTTTAACAGAAAGCTGCGGCTGTATGTTATCTAAGAAGATTGTATCAAAGAACATTGTCACATTTTTAAACCACTTGCCTCCACCAATATAGCTACCCATGAGAGAAGAAGCTACTTTCCAGTTATCCTGGCCGAGTGATCTCATGGGTACCATCAGGAATGCCACTGTTGTTCCAACAACTGTTGCAACTGCAACATCAGAGGAAACAGAATCAGCAGTTGCACTAGGTATATAGAATCAGACGAGGAAATTCTTGTGTAGAACAAAGTATTAGTAATGCAGAAAATTTTCTCAACAATGGTATTGTTGTACATGATTAGAATATAATTTAGAATGAAAGATCATTAGCTTATTTCAATAATCACCCATAAAAACAATTTTAGCTAGTATCAAGCAAGTAGTGGTTATGCTATTCATTTATAAAAAGAAGAGCAAAAATATACACTTTCTAGCAATCAGGAATGAATTCAATAAAATTTTCAACTTACTAAAGACACTGTCAAATGTGACTGCTAAATTCATGAATAGAGTGTAATATGCTAAGATGTTAACTATATTTTGCGACATGAAAAATTTTGTACTGAGTCCATTTTTCATATGGATTGCTTGATTTTGCAAATATGGTGTGAAACAAATTGAAACAAGGAACAACTGAACGATTCAAAATATTAGTTAGTTTTGCATCAAATATCAGCTACCTTGTCATTCTGGTCAAACCAAATGGTTTCAACCTCCGGGGCTGAGAGATTATTTTAGCTACCTTTTTGTTTAAATTACATTTTTTATAACCTGATTCTCAATTGAAAAAAAAAAAAAGGAGTATAGCATTCTAATACAGATATGTCAAAGGAAACATATATGACAATCAAAAAAGCAATGAGTTAGGCCATCAGTAAATTTATTATGGAAGAAATATTAAAGAAAATAAGATGGAAATTTCTACCTAAAAATGAGTCTGATTTGCCAAAATAACAAACGTGCTAAGGAATTACAATACAAGCATTAAGACGTCTAAAAGTTATCTGGTCTGCATACAATTTTGACCAAAATAATTCGCAAATGGCAATCTTGGGTGGGTGAAACTGGAAGCAGGCATTATCTTGAAAACATGTCATTCACTTCTATTTTCAACCCTGTCCTGTGCCAAGATATCCAACTTATTTGGATGGACTGTGCATTGCTACTCAAGGGCCTTCAAATAAAGTTGATAAAGCAATTGATTCTTTCAGACCTTTAAAACTTCTTATTAGCTCTTGAAATAAGACAGCTATTTTGAGCAATAAAACACACAAAGGGAGTCTCAAGAGTTTGGCTTTTGTAAGGGACGAAGTACCTCCAGTTTTATAAATTCCGTTAAACATATTTATCTTCTCCTACTTAAAATCCTGCAAGTCAGGGTTCTCCATCTCTCATGCTGGTGTATTTATTCATATCTAATGAACAGATGGGGTTCGGCAAGCCCCCCCACCCCCCCACCCCAACCTAGGTACAGGTGGAGTTGTATATAATAAAAATTGTGGTCACATAGAGTAACCTCGATAAATGTCCTGAATAAAGCACAAAAGAGAAGGCACAAGCTGCAAAACATATAAGCCTTGTGAACATGTACAAAATTTATTTGGAATAAAATGGAGCATAACCAATAGCAGGAATATGGATTCAAAATATAAGTAAAGAGTTGACCTGATCCTAACAAGAAAGCCTGGAACAAAGTCCCGGTCGACTGTATCACTTGCCTCATATCTGCTCTGAATAATAATAAAGGCACTGTTAATGGCAGCAAATATTGAAACACTGTTGAATACGCCGGCGCTTCAAATGGAATAATCCCCATATTACTCGCCACAAGCCCAAGTAAAATGCTCACTAGTGCAGCACTCACCATGCTCCCAATCTTTGTCTTCTCTGACCTTCAGTCCATTAATCACACACCAATAAACTAGTTTGTTTTACGCAGGATTCAAGAAAACTGAAAACATTTACACAAATACTGCTGAAGACTAAATTTAAATGCCAAAATAGTTTAACAATATCAGAGCAAAGAAATATTTTGTTTCAAGGTTTCGTCTGGATTTATATGAGAAAATTTTGCACCAATCAGACTTCGAATGAAAATGAATCCAGCATGTAAGTGTGAAAGCACGTGGAAGATTGAATTGAAATGAATTAATGGCTCCCTCTCTATTAGCTCGAGCATCTAGATATGGTGATTCAACAAATAAAATAAATTAAATTGAAAAAGGATCTTAATAAGATAAACAGAAGCATAAAAAATTCGAGAACAAAGCCCAGAAAAAAGAGGGAAGTGACAGCGGGACAAAATTGAAACTATAAATTCAAATTACCATAGGCCGATAGTGCCTGTGGCCAATAGAGCAGTCCATGTACCCCAATGGTCCTGAGGAGAAATCAAAGGAGTATTCAATTGAGATTTGACTATTAGAGGGTGATTTCTATCAGAATTCTTGCGAGAAATCTTGGAAGAAAAATGGGATGAATGTTTGTATATGAAAATTGAGCTAACTGAGAAGGTACAGAGAGTTGGCCTTTGGATTAATGTTGACAAAGAGGAAGATGAAAGAGTGGTCAGGTGCAATGGAAACGTCGGCAATGCCATTGACGGCGAGCTTTTGCAGTAATGCTCCGGCGACAGTGCCGAGGTTGGGAAGTAGTTATTTTATCAGCTACCCGGTTGTATGATTATTGGAATATTCTATTGGACCACGTGGCGAGTAAAAAACACAAGATTTCGATAAATAGATTGTGCTCTAATGTGGGCTGGGCAGTGCATTGGAAAATTTACAACTCAAACTTTATTTATCACAAAATCAAAAAGAGGAAATTACACAAAATCATACTTTAAGTATTAACTTTTCAAAAATCAGATTGAAAGTTTGATATTTCAAAAATCAGATATTTTTTTAATTATTATAAATTAATATTAACAATAATATAAATTAATTTATCTACCACCATCCAAACCCTAATAATCTCCTCATTGCCTCCCTCCCGATTTGCACTCTCTCTAAACCAACCCGTCGTCGTTGCCGCCGCCGCCCGTCGTTATTGTCCAGCCCCATCACCACCCTTAACTTTCTACCTCGCTCAGCTCTCTCCCTCTCTATTCTCAGTTCTCTCTCTGTCGAAGCTACCGAAGTGGAGCCGCGCGAAGCAGTCGGACTCGAAGCTACCAATGTGGAGCCACGTGAAGCAGCCTGACACAACCACCGTCATCATAGGTCGCTTCATGGCACTGCTCCACTCAGACGAACACCGCACGCAGGCCACCGTTCCTTATTCTACTTTAATCGAGTTTTGATTTTGTTAGAGGCAGATCTGTTTGGTATTCATTAACAGCCTGCAAAAATAAAAATTGTGACCGTTTTTCATTATTCCAGAGGCTTTTATTCGTGTTATAGAGATTCGATTTTTGTGCTCGGAGTCGGAGAAACAGATATATTGTTGGTTGCCTTCATTTTCATAAAGAAAATCGGGCGAATTTTATATCTTCTCGCCTGTTTTGGAGGTATGGTGGTGGATTTTTTAGATGTGTTTGAAGGTGGTGACGGTGACTTGTTTGAATGTGGATTTTGTTGGATCTAGTGGTGGCGATGGTGGTCGTTTTTGTTTGTGGCTGCAGTGGTGCTACTGCGTGGTGGTGGCAGCGACGGCGACGTGGCTGGTGGCAGTGATGACTCATGAGGTGGTGGTCACGGGAGTGGTCACAGAAGTCAGTGGTGGCCACGAGGGTAGTCACAGAATTCGGTGGTGGTGACCTTAAAAGTGTGACTAAAAATTAATCTGCGATGGGGGTGGTCACAGAAATTGGTGGTGGTCACGGGGGTGGTCACAAAAAAAATCTAACTGTGACTTTAAAATTGTGACTAAAAATTAATCTGTGACCAATAAATTTGAAAATATGTGACTGATAGATAACTGTAACCTATAATTTTTTGATCTATGACCAATAAAATAATATGTTACCTGATTTGTGATCTCGAAATAATTCGTGACCTACAAATATTTTTATCTGTGATCAATAAAAAAATCGTGACCTATAATGTTTTTGATTTGTGACCTCAAAAATAATCTGTGATCAATTAATTATGTATATGTGACCATTAATTGTATAATTGTAACACCATTAAATTTAATTAATAAAATAAATAAATATTTAATTAATAATATAAATAATTGTTAGAATCGAAAAGTCACCGGAAAAGTTCGTCGGGAAGTGGCCGAAAAAGTTCGCTGGAGTAGGGCAATGATCGGAACAGTCGTCGGAGCGATATGGGTGGTGAAGGTGGGATGAGTTAATTATATTATATTAGAATTAAATATTTAATAATAAACCAATTTAATAATTTATTATTTCATAAATAAAAATTTTAATAAAAATCTGATTTTGGTAATTTCAAACTTGTTTTCTTATTTTTGAAATAGACTAAACTCATTCTCTTAAATATATAATCTTCCCAATCAAAAATCAGGTCCCAAATTTCAGAATTGCAAAAATTAGGTTTTTCATGAATTAATTAATTATATTTCACAATTATTATATTATATTAAATATTTAACTATAATATAATATAATTAATCCACCCCGCCCTCACCTCCACCTCCACCTCTGCTTCGGTGATCGGCGACTGTTCTCCGATCACAAATCAAAAAAATTGTAGGTCACAGATTATTTAGATGTCACAAATCTAAAATTTTATAGATAACAATTTTTTCATCAATCACAAATCAAAAAAAATTTCATCGGTCACATATTTCCAAATTTTTTGGTCGCAGATTAATGAATTTTAAGGTCACGGACCACATAGTTGGTCACATATACCAAACACCCGTCCCCCAATCACAGTACACCACCAATACTTGATCACAGGTCACAGATCGAAATAGTTGGTCACATATACCCAAACATCTGTCCCCCAATCCCAGTGCACCACCATCGCTGCCTGTACCACCACAACAAGAAAATCGTCGTCGCCGCTGTCGACCCCATTATATACTTGCTACACCATTGACATTGCATCCCAACAATCTCAAAACATGTTCAAAAAATAAAAAATCCATCAAAACCCTCAATAATTAACAGTAAAGAAACTGCATAATCAAAATGCAATGCGTTCAAGAACCAAATATTACCATTCACGTGATTAGCTACTTGGAATCCCAGATTTCTTCTCAAATTTACAAAATAACTTAACAAAATACAGATATCTCATCTCACTCCCCCCCTTTCTTTGTAGCCTTTGTAAACACAATTACTGGCAACAAAATTCCTGAAAAAATCAATCACAAACCCTAATTGCACCTACAATTGAAACAAACTTCTTGGATAGATGATACAAATTCCTAAAACAAGTCTATTACTGTTTAGTTAGTGCTTCCATGAGCTCGCGTGGCGACGATTCCCAAATTGGAAGGTCAATGAATTGCTGCTTCAATCTCTTCTTGGGCATTGCATGATGCTTCTGCTACATCGCACAAATTCGAGAGGGAGGAGGTGGCGGATGGTGGAGGCACTGCTACGATTCACAGCAATGTCTCGAAGCTGTTTTGCCAGGGAGGGAGGGAGGATGAGGAGGCAGCGGGCTGTGGTGGTGGATGAATCACGGAGAGAAAGGTAGCGGTGGAGGCGATGGAGTGAAGAGAAATGAAATGGATTAGGGTAGGGTTTGGATAGGGTTTTATATTTAAAATAAATTTGGTGTGGTTAGGTAGTATGGTGGGTATATACCATAATGACAGGTTGAAGACCAACTTGCTAATCGAGCCATAAGTTGGGACCAACGGTGCATTTTTCCCTGAAAATATTGGCAACTAATTACCTCTTTGGTGCTGAACTGGATAAAAGCATAGCCGCAAGGTTCTCCACGATTATGGCAAAGAAAATCTTCTGATACTATCTTTCCAAATGGAGATCAAAACATCTTAATAAGTGCAGGCCTGCATGAAATACAAAAATATTTATTAAATGAAAGCATGTATAGGGCAGAAATTACATATTAAAATATGTTCCCTTACCCAGTTATCCTCAGATCAGTTAAAACATCTTCATATACATCACAAATTACAAGCTGTATTTCAAATTAATTAAAAAGATAAAGTTGGTTATCTAAAAAATATTTCTCTCGTGCATTATATAAGACGCTTGACACCTTGGATTAGGGTTTAAAAATGGTGGAATGCAGTTAACTTCATGCAAAAGATTATCTAAAACACAATCATACATTTAATAAAGATTCCGAGACGTAAACCCTAGCGTCCACAAAAAATGCTGATAAAACATTGCAGGCATAAATAATTAGAAGTACGAAAAATTCAAGAAAAATCGCAAATCAGAGTCAGATGTTTACTTGCCATAGCGAATTCCTGCTGCAATTAAGCTCGAGATTGAGATTAGAAAGAGAACGTACATAGTTTACAAACCCTAGAAACGATGCCGTCGTAGTCGAGAATAAAAATTCAATTACAGCTTTCCCTCTAGCGGAATTTGAATCTATATGAAGATTTAAGCAAAAAAGGATGGACCCTTCATCTCTACTCTACAAGAACTACTCATCACCTCAAGAGCGCCTTCGATATCCAATAGATCACGGATTGATTATAAAGCAAGTATTGAATATTTTGAATAAAGCCTTTTAAATTTGAAATTACCTATTATCCAATCTTCTCTCCTCCAAAAATTTTGATTATTTCTATCCAAGTCTCTCCATGTGTAAAGATGTCAAGCCCAAAAGAATTGGGGATGATGAGTTTAATTTCGATGAACCAGTAGTAATTTATAGCAAAGTTCAGAGATGATTGATTAAATTAACTCTGGGGATGACACTCGTAAGAAAATTAGATAAATCGTCATAACAACCTTGTAGGAAATGTATTAAAGTACTTGTTGACACACAAAAGGTGCAGTCCAAGCAGAAGGCCCAAAAGAGCAAGGCCCAATCGGGGTCCCAGTATCTGAAGAGCGGAGCCCAATTGAAGGTCCAGTATGAGAGCCTGAATAAAAGTGTGGGCAAGTGACGTAAAAGCCCACGAAGCAAAAGCAATGCTATCGC